AAATTTATTAAAAAAAAATTTAAAATTTTAAAAATAGTTTCTACTTTGCGTTTCTCATTGGAAAAATCATCTATTTTACATATTTATAACGCGATACACAAATACACACAGAGTTAAAATGATCAACGACTCCTTTGAGTTCTCCTGTAAATGCTAAGTTCCACACATACACACTTATAAACTTTATTGTTATTTTTGTACCAAATGTCCACTAATTTTGCTTAAAATGTTTGCTTTTTCCAGCTGACGACGATTCCGACAACAGCCCACACGACATGGAAGGCAACAATTCGGACTTAGAGAGCGGTTTTGCCGACATGAACGGCGTGAGCCTCAACAGTTACGGCGGCGTCACATCGTCCGCCTATTCACAGATGCAGGTGAGTTGCAAAAGCAACCAACTATTCTACATACAGTCTATTTTTGTTCAGCAATGCCTAAGCTCATGCGAGGAAATAAAGTAAATAAGGCAACACTGCGCGCGGCGATAAAATTCCGAAGTGTCAGTATGTCAGTCGTTGTGTTGTGGTGGAACAGAAATTTAATCTTGTATAAAATTTGTTATAATATTTTTTTCCAATTTTTTCATCAATTTGTTTTTTTTTTTTAATTATTCTGCTGCGCTACGGGTTGCGTGCCCGGCTAGCAGTCTGCTCTCGCGACGGTTCTAAACCGGACTGCAACAGCTTCCACAGCCGATTTCAGCGCATCGTTTGTACTTTTGTTGTGGAAAATTATTAACTGAAAATCTGCTCGAAATTGTTTAAAACCTGTTGAGCCTTGTATTTGTTAACACAAAATAAGAAACGTGTGAGACGGGTTAGCGATAAAAGAGAAGAACGGAGAAGGAGAAAGATGGAGGAGGAGACGGAAAAAGCACCAATAATTTCTCACGAGCGCGGTTTAATTTAACAATGCCTTTTCAATTTAACGCTTAGAATTACAACACTACGCCTGTCAACAATCAGCTGTTTGTAAACCGTTGACAAAAGAACTGTGTCTTAGAGCCATATAATTTCAGCCGAAATTGCTAAATAGGATAATTACTAGGGTTACTGAAACGAGTACTTCTTCCTTTCTTTTCGCGGCTTGGAGATTCCAAGTGCAACCAGCTCTTTCTAGCCAGCGTAGCCACTGTCCCTTAATTCACTATAATATGTATATGTCGACGTATAACTCACACAGATCATCTTTTCATCTAATGCGATATTCGCCATTCGAAGTTCGAAACAGCGCCTGTTGTCAAGAATTATTCTGCACTGGATTTCAATACTGACATTGTTGTTGGTGTCAATATTGCTTCCAAGATAGACGAAACTATCTACGACTTCGAAGTAAACAGTCAACACTGACATAGGAGCCAAGTCGCGAGTTCGACGACTACTTGTTTTAAAAACTCGTTGGCAGCTGTCGTCATCAGAACAGGGGATTTATCATTCGAAGCACTTTTCTTCTTTTCTTTGGTAATAGCGGGTCCTAAACCCGTCCTGCTCACTATATCTCGCCTTCACACAGAGATACTTGTTCTAAGACCGTAAGTTGTGAGCTGCTTGAGCCAAATGTAAAGGAATCGTTTCTGACCACTCCCAAGTGAATGGCACTCAGCGAACTTTCCTCACTAATGTGAACTTTTATGGCTCCATCCTCCACTGCTATCTTCAGGCGCTAAAAAACAACGATAAACGATAAACCTGCAATGGCATCCAGGCTATAGGGGTATTCCCGATAACTGTGAAGCAAATGAACTAGCCAGAACCGGTACCACATTACAATTAGACTCTGAAAAAGAAGGAATTTATCTGCCTCTGGCTATTTGTAGATATGTAATGAACAAATATTTTAAAAATATAGCCAAGTCTCGGTGGAGTGCATCCCTAACTTGTTCAAAAAGTCGGCAACGTGTAATGGAAGGAATATGGAACGCACAGGTCACTATCTAATTAGGAAACATGACGGCAGATTAGGAACTCCATATAACGACAACTACAGAATCTGTCAGGAGATAGAAAAAGAACAGGCTGTTAAATATTTTCAATGCAAATGAAAAGCTCCTTACAGGAAAAGGTTTCTATCAGTCGAGAGCTTCTATAAGACATTTCAAACGATAGTGAAAGAATACATTGACCTCTTATCCGATAAATCTTTTCGTACTGATGAACTTCATTAGAATCACAGGGTAGCACTGGGAGAAGACAATAGACTGAGGGGATTTTAGTCCCGATGGTTTCAGAAGGGGCCTCCTGTGAGCCTAGGTCTGTCATCAGATAATCATTTTGCCTACATACCTACGTAAAACATCCAAAACCTACCATAAATCAAATTCAGAATTCTGTTTCGAAAGGGTCCAATAATCATGATAGTTTCCGTCAGAATAGTCAGAATTCGTCCAGAAAACTCATTTTGTTGTCTTTTAAGTAAAAAATAATAATTGCTTTTCGAATTAAAAAACAAATATACAAAATACTTACATATCAATCTAATCTCGTAAATGGTTTGGTCAGCCTTTTTGACACCATTTATAATGAGAAAAATTTATTTCGACCTACCTGCTGAAAAGAAATCGCTTTATAAAAGCAACGAGTCAAGTTTAAAGTGCACAATTGAAATAAAAAAAATTTAAAAAACACATCAAAATTATGCGGTTAATCACAAAAAGCAATTTCTCTTCCGACTTTTTGAAAAATCGCATTTGATTCTTGTTCTAAATTAAAAAAATGCGTTGCCAAAACACGTTTCTTCGGCAGCGGCACAGTTTGTTCACTTTTAACCCTCGAGTTGCGATCGAGTTGGGCGATAAAATTATTATAATTCTCGTTGTTATAAGTTCACAGCGAATATTGAGTTCAACATTTTTATTTCGTAATTTACAATTTTAAGAATGTAAGCATTAACCATATTTTTTATTGAAAACTGTTTTGTTCTTTTAAGTGGCTTTAAATAGGCTTTCGATACCATATTTTTGAAATGATTTTGAATTTTAAAATTTTTTTAATATGAAAATTAAAATGATAATTTTTTTTCATTTATTTTTATATATTGTATTAACAAAAACATGTTAATAACCTTCATCTGCTCTGCTTACATCCCTACTAGCCATCTCTTCAAACTCTAACTGATAATATTTGCAACAATATTTTTATTTTATAATTAACAAAATTAATATATTTTTGTTAATGTTTTCCATTTTCAGATCGATTTGGATAGACAACATTTATTGGGCAACCGAAATCATGTTGTTGAAAGCGTCATTGCCGACGGCCTGGAAGGCTTAGAGCATCAGGAGAGGTGAGTGCACTTTGCTTTTATATAATGAAAAGTTTAAGTACAGCCCGATGTGTATATTTTCTTACTAGCAATGAGTCAATAAGTGATTTTCTTAAGCTAAAACTATGATAGGATAATACACATATGTTACTCATACGCACTGCTGCACAAACACGTCAAATTAAGTACGTGTGGTAGATTATTATTATTACTGGCTACCCGACTAGGATATACGAGTCGTGTACAAATATCTAATTGTGTTAGGTGTGAGCTAGAACAAGGATTATATTTAAGATTTTTTTATTTTTCAAAAGGACTACTTGAAGTTACTCATGCGCCTTGATGGCACTATCCTGATGAAACTTGGTACACGTATTTCTTAGCTCCATAGGAAGCTTAATTTCGAAGATGTGCATAATCGGCCCACTGCCACGCCCACAAAATGACGAAAATCGAAAACTTATAAAGTGTCATAACTAAGCCATAAATAAAGATATTAAAGGGAAATTTGGCACAAAGGATCGCATTAGAGAGAGGCATATTTGGACGTAATCTTTTTGGAAAAGTGGGCGTGTCCTCGCCCCCTACTAAGTTTTTTGTACATATCTCGAAAACTACTATAGCTATGTCAACCAAGCTCTATGGAATCGTTGCTTTCAGGCATTTCCATACACAGTTCAAAAATGGAATAAATCAAAGGTTATGTTGAAAATCACTAAAAGTACGTTAACCGACTAACAAAAAACGTAAGAAGCACTAAATTTTACGGAAGAAATGGCAGAAGGAAGCTGCACGCAGGCTTTTTTAAAAATTGAAAATGAGGGTGGCKTCGCCCACTTATGGACCAAAAACCATATCTCAGGAACTACTCGACCGATTTCAATGAAATTCGGTATATAATAGTTTCTTAATACCCTAATAATATGTATGAAAGATGGGTGAAATCGGTTTACAACCACGTCTTCTTCCAATATAACGCTATTTTGAATTCCATCTGATACCTTCCCTGTATAATATATACATTAGGAACCGATGATGATAGCGGAATAAAACTCTACACAAATACGGTATTTAAGCTGAGGTATCCTTTGTGGAAAAGTTGTCGTAATCGGACTATAACTTTTCAGGGTCCCTGACATCGAACACGAAAAACTCAGTGCCTAACCTAACTTAATTTTTCACCGAAAATATTGGTAAATCTCTCAGATATTTTCCTGTAATTCAGAGGGCATCATTTTTATACTCTTGTAATAAAATTGCTAATAACGGTATATATCGTCAGATATATGGTAACATACATGTACCAAAGTGATCAGGGTGACGAGTAGAGTTGAAATCCGGATGTCTGTCTATCCGTCCGTGCAAGCTGTAACTTGAGTAAAAATAGAGATATCTTGATGAAACTTGTCATGCGAGAGTATAAAATGTTCGGTGACACCCGAACTTAGCCCTTCCTTACTTGTTTTTATTTACCGAATATACAAAACATTTTTGCTATGAACTTTGTGAGATTTTCTAATTAAAATATGCTACATTAATCAATAAAGTAACTAAGGTGATTTTTTTTATATTTTTATACCTTTTTTCTTTAGCTATCTAGATGGTAGGAGTAAATATATAAACCAATTCATAGAATTTGAATTTTTTTATAGAAATATTTCAGCTTAGAGTATTAAAAAATTATAATTTAATGTGGCTTTTGCTTAGAAGAACACACATGCATACGAGCTAATACAAATAAAGGGTGTTTTATAAGGCATGCAATTTTCAGAAAGAAATAGCACGCATATGGTTCGATGTTATGGCCAAGAATTTAGCCTTATTTTAAAGATTAGGTTTCTCAATCATATTTTAAAATGATTACGGGCATTGCTCCAGCGCGGCTGGCTCAAATAAATTCCATGCAAGATGCCCAATTTTATGCGTTAATTTTATACGTTCCCGGTTATTAGCAAAAACTCGGCGAATATTCTCTTCCAAGACGTCAATCCAACGGCGGTAATAAATTGCTTGTTTCCTAAGCAGTAGCCGTCTTGTTGAGACCAAAGGTCATTCACATTAATGTTCTTCAAAGAAAGAGACGAAATAATCATTAATCATGGCCCTATATTGTACCCCATCGACTGTAACTGCTCTGAGCCGGCCATAACGGCTTCATTTTTGCAGAAATGTGAACAAATGCTTGCTTCTACCACACTAAGCAGTGACTTTTTTAGGGTGTTACGCCGTCTCAATAATGGCTTGTGCATTATCATCACTCATAGATTTGCAAACGTTGCTCCGTAATAAGTCTATACGTTACGCAATGACAAACCAAACAGAGTATGCATGAAGTACCAACTGTCAAAATAACCAAAAAAAAAAAAAACACCCTTTATATCTGCTTCTGATTTTCTATTTAACCTGATCAAAAAATTTCCACTGATATCAAATTACTTGAATTGCGTTCTTCATACAATATATTTATAACTACATATATCTCTTTTATTGCATTTTAAGTCAGCAGCTATTGCGTAAACGTCACTTGTATTATGTAATATACAAAGCATACAACTTCTTTCTCCTACGTCTACGTAAATGAGGAGATACTAAATAATTGAATACTACATTATTTTACATATAGCTGTCTTTGCAAAGAAGTGGTGTCTAAGGTGGGTTTAAGTTCGTGTGGAAACGAACGAAATAGTTAAATCTCTGTCATTAACTTCCGTTTGAAATGGTGACATGTCGCGATTGCCAGGAAATTCATATTACGAATATCTCCTACTGTGATACTTAAACTCAGAGTTTATTAAACACTTTCGTGAGAAAACTGAGACTGGCATTTCACCCACCTACATCGTAGATAAAAAAAAAAGTAAAATTTAACTCCGAGTTTATTAAACTCATCGAGAAAATTCTTACACTGACATCACACCCCCAGATATTGCATGCATCGAAGTAGTAAAACTAAAGTTTTTACTTCTTAAGACTTCAAATTAGTCTATATAAACTTAGAGTTTGTTAAACTCTTCCCTCAAAAACCGAGTGTGGCAGTTTGGCCACCTACATAAAAAATATAATAAAAAACAATAAAATGAAACTCCGAGTTTCTTAAACTCACCAATAGAAACACTGACTCTGAAAACCCAGACACTGACATTGTTTATGTAAAGGTATTCAAATTCATCTTTGAGTTTCATAAACTCTCAAATTAACCTACTTAAACTCCGGGTTTGTTAAACTCTCGCTAAGAAACCTTAGACTGATACTAGAAATACATAATTACACTCTACATAAAATTAGTTCAACTTGTTTCTTAAACCCTCAAACAAGTCCACTAAAACTCAGAATTTGTTAAACTCTACCCTAAAAAACTGAGTCAAGCAGTTAGACGACCCACGTCGTGTATAAAAAATTAGTAAAATTAAACTTCGAGTTTCATACACTCTCCAATGACAACTCAACTCAAACCTGAGACTTCATAGAACAGTAAAAAGAATGCACTAACAATCTTAAACATATTGCGCAGCTTTCAGTTACAATTTCCTAATTTTCAATGCATTTTGCAGAAACCCATAAACCAATTAGATGAATAAAATAAGAACTCCCTTCTGTCCACACAGCGCCCGGGTTATAGTAAACATTTCTAAAACCAAAAACAAAAAAAAACAGGCGTAGACTTTGTCTCGTCATAAATATAACAACAAGGAAAAGCATTAATATTTCATTACTCGCATTACACAGCGCGAGGTTAACTTGTTAACTGTGTAGTAACATATTTACAGTTAGAGCTATTTTTTCTTAGAATTGCATTTACACCAACTGCCTTTACGACTTACGACCTTCTATTCGTCATGGCAAACGCTGATAGTCATTTAATTTCAAGAAAAAATATTGTTGTTGTTGAAAAAGAAAATTGTAAACAAACATAGGTGAACTATAAATAGGCCTTGTGCTATTTTTATAGACACTTTTCTTCTTTTTACTTTTGCCTTCACTTGAATTCATTCCACTTGCTTGACTTGTGGCATGTTCTGCATTTGTCGTGCCAATAGTTTAACTAACGGTGTAGGCGCCACCTTGAGAAAGCCAATGACGTCAACAGGCGCATGCCAATTGATAGTTAATATATATTAATGTACATGTATATGTATGCATCTATTGCAGAAGGAGTGAGAGTTTTATTTTTTTGTAGATATTTGGAACAGACATATGTATGTATATGTACATATATATTTGTATGACACTTAGGATATATACATACATGTTAGTATTGTGAACAAACCTCAGCATCAAAATCAATCTAATATATGATGTATAAATGTATATACCATACATACATATGTACTTATGTATACTATGTACATATAGACTATTAAACATGCCAAGCCTCTCGTGCATAAACTTCGTGTGCGCTAACAGTGACGTCATTAAATGCGTGTCGTTAAGCCGTGACGTCACGAAGTGGGTTTGTATCCTGCGACACGTAAACATATCCGTTTGAGTTTTGTATGCAGCTATGACAACAATTTGTTATTTTTGTGGAATTATGTTGTGTGTAAGTACATAAAAATATATGCATATATGTATTTATATGCTTATGCAATCTTTTAAATGGTAAGAAATACGATTGCTATCGCTTTTTCACTACATTCTTCAGGTAAATCAATTTTACCAAACTTTTGCAGATCTTCGAGTTGTATATATGTATTATACCACCGATTGGAGACACTTGATTTTCGATTTCCTAAAAGCTCGCAATTTTTCAATAAATGAACAATACATACCATTTGTAGGGAATAAAGTATATAAATCTTCACAGAAACTCTTTCCTGGAAACTCCAGAAGCCGCCTCTTCACATAATGGCATTGCTCTGCTTTCTACTCCTCTTAGTCCTGCCATAGGTTCTGTTACAAGTTCTGATCATTGCTATATAAAATGAACTTTATCACAGTTTCTAATACAGTTATTTTTATTTAAATATGTCTATATTTAATCAGGGATTTACAAACTTTAGTATGTAATGGTCACTTTTTGC